ATTATGAAAATTGGTTCCTACAGCTGCGGAGGCTGAAGGGCTCTATGACCCTCCTCCTGCGAGCCCAGATTTAGCAGAGGTACTTCGCCAGTCCTAACCTAAGGTCAAAGGAAGATCAATGATGCGCATTTCAGTCACCATCTAGGGAGGAAACAGAGTTCTCCCTTTAGTCATCGCTCGCTAGTTCTGGCATTGTCATTCATGCTGCAGAGGGAAACTCGTTTTCCCCCCGAATTACTGCTTACTATCGATTGTCAATTTGACGGAATTTGGACTCACTTAGGTGATGCAGTTCTGTGTGTCTCTGTGAGGACATTTAAGAAGAGGTGTGACTGGGGTCTTAAGATGTGCTCTGAATGTAGACAGAACTGGCACGCTGGTTAAATACAGGAAGTGAGCTGATCCCCAGCAGCCATCATCCTGTCTTCTAACTGCTACTGACGGGGCGTGGCCAGAAGGTCCTTCCATTCCCTGCTTTCTTCTGCATGATAGACTCGAACTGTGAGTCCTCTCAATGACTAGCTTCACGGAGCAGGAGTTGAGTCGCCCATAGAGTTATGGCCAGGTACCCAGGGGGGAATGGGAACTCGTTCATATGGTTGCTGATTTAGGGGACAGAGGCACCCAAGTTAGTAAGGTATCAGACTTAAGTTGGGTCTAATGTTGGAAATATTTCTTCCTTTTAAACTGAAACATATAGGCCAGCAAAACATAAGGCCCCTGAATTAAGAAACACACATTGGGCCTGATAGATCTCAAGGACTGATAGGAAACGGCACTGTTCTTTCCATCCCTGATCCTTGGACCCCAAGTTCTCCCCGTGGAAGAACAAAATAATCTCATTTGGATGCTCATTTGGGACATATTTATTCATCTGCGAGGCCTACAAGGCATTATGCTGAGCTGTCGTTAAGACAGTGCTGAAAATATCATTTTCCAAGCAAGCCAGCTGCCACAGCAACAGCAGAGATCTCCTTCACCAGAAGCTGTGCCGCAGTGAGATTCTAGAATGACTGGGCAATGAGAGAAGTCATAAATCCACAGAGGGCCCATTCTGTACTTGGTGCTCCTTGTTGGTCTCTGACATTGGCAGAGTAGATACTCATTGCAGTCATGGCCAGGTCAGCCATGGTGCATGAAGTCCACAATGCCCTTTCTCTTGTCAGTATGGCTCTTTGTTAATGGGCCACAGATGACTGAGTGACATGAATGTGTGATGAGGCTGGCTGGTATCCACGGGAGGGTCATTCTATGCATAGATCGATAAAATTCTCTGCTGAGGTCTCGGGTCAGCGGTATTGCCCATTCATGGGTGTTTGTTCACTTACTTATTTGCAAAGTCCATTGTTACTAATTTTTGAATCAAGTTTTACCAAAGTCTTTGTTGTGGTCCATAGCTGGATATGATCACACGTGGCCATTTCTCCCCTGGGAGGAAAGTTGAAACCAGATGTGGAACCCAATGTTCTGCCAGCCAGGAGGATTCTCTCACCCCCTGTCTCTGAAGAATGTTCTAGAGAGAGGCTCCAGCATGGCAGTTGTCCATTGTGTGGTGGCTTCTTATCATGTGCAGTTTGTCGTTCATTTTTTCTCCAAATTCATGTGTTAGTGCTCTCTTAAAATGATGGTGTCTGAAGCTGGGGAGAAACACCAGTAGGTAAAAGCACTAGCTACGCTAGTCTGAGGTCCCAAGTTTTATCCCTGGAAACTACACTACAGAAAAGGCCTGGCTAGGTGGTGTGCATCTGTAATCTCAGCTCCCCCGTTGTGAGATGGGAGCCAGGGAGAACGGGGGATCACTGGGGAGCTGCCAGGCCAGCTGGTCTAGAAGAAGCAGCAGAAGTGACAGAGACAACACCTCAACAAGGTGGAAGCAAAAACTGACTCCCAAAACTTGTCCTCTGACCTCCACACACGTGCTATGGAATGTGCTTATCTGTACTCACATGATGTAGACAGATGACAGAGAGAGATGAGAGGTAGCTGATAGATGATAGATTATACAGATGATAGATGATGGATAGGTAGATGATATATACAGAGAGACAGTTTATATACAGATTGATGGCAGGTGATATATAGTGATATGTAGATGGTATATAGATAGATGAGAGATAGAGGAGAGATGATAGAGATAGATGATAGATTGATAGATAGTCAGATAATGGTGGTGTTAGCAGATGGGGCCTTGGGAGCTATTTTAAGTCATGAAGGTGGAGGTCTTATAACTGAGATTGATGCTTTGGTGCATGAGCTTTGGCTCTATCTGCAGCTATAGCTCTCACAAGTGTGGTTGTCTGTGGGGTGGCAACAGAAAATATCTCGTAGCAACAATGTAACAGGCAACAGGTTATAAATGGTAGGCATACTGATCATCTGAGTCTCTGGAAGAAAACCAAGGTGGAACAGGATTTCTCTTCCTGTATTAGTCTCCAGTTGAAGTGGGGATGTTTCAGAGTGTGAGGTTAAGAGAGAGAGAGGCTGAACCTCCCTGAGGGGGCTGACAGCGCAGACAGATAAAGAGCTGCAGCTTCGCAGATGGGATCTGTACATTATTGATTTTCGCCCCTGTAATAGCTGCGAAGTAACTTGTAAACAACACTCAGGGTACTGCTTAACTGGTTCCTGGGACTTTTCCTCATTATTTAGAGTTCCTGGCATTCATCAAGGTGCATCTGCAGTTGGCAGTTACCAGGAGGAGAAAACGTTAATGTTTGGTACCGGCACCCAGACTAAACCAGCAAGCTAGCCTCTGGCTGCAGGACCTGCAGGAGTTCTGCTTTGTTAAATGTCACAGCTGGGTGACCCCTCCTCTGTGGGCTTTGTCACTGCCACCATTTTCTGACATCTTCACGGGGAGGAGAGGTTAGGAAATGGCCGTCGAGGGAAAGGGGGACTGTGGGGAAGAGGGATTTACTTCACTAGGGTCCACGGATCCCCTGGCTTTGACCAGACCAGCTTCCTTACCCAAGATCATTATAAATGCTGTGGAGAGATAACGTTGAAGAAACAATAGGAAGATATGAGCAATGGATGGGGAACCGTTTCCTGAATACCATAGTGTGGCCATTTAACACCGTTCCTCAGGCTGTGGTGACTCCAACCATAAATTTTTTGCTGCTGTTTCATAGCTGTAATTTAGCTACTGTTATGAATGTAATGTGAATATCCATGATAGTCTTAAAGAACCCCTGTGAAAGTGTTATTTGAAGCCCCCAAGAGGTCATGATTCACAAGTTGAGAACCAATGATTTGGAGAGAGTTGGGGGGAAGTTCCTATGTTATTGAGTACACACACACATACACACACACACACACACACACACACATACACACACACTCACTCACTCAAGTTAATACTTAACATTATATTTAAGAGATTTGTACTTTTGATGCTGTTGTCTTAAGGACCTCTCTAGAAGTCAGGTAACAAAAATCTCATTGGCTCTCTTAAATCCGAAAAACAAAACCAAAAGCCCACTTTCTAGTCCATCTCCACTGGCCTCTGCACATCAAACACTTCCAGGCCTGGATCACAGGGGCTGTCAGAATTCAGCAGGCATTGGCCAGCCGACTCAGAGTACACACTGCAAGATCTCTGAACTGGACGGCAAGGTCATACCCTGAATGGGCTAAAGTTACACAGTCTTTGTTCAGTGTCTGCCAACAGTGACATAATGAATTCCCAATGGGCTGTTTGTCCTTTGACCTGTACCAGCCAGGCTGTCGCTGTTTGCTCTTGCTGACTTCACGCACTGGGATGACGGCATCAGCACGGCTAGCTCATAAATGCATGGGCAATGTGTGGGGAAAAGTCAGAGACAGCACTGTGTTCACACAAAACACAAGAAAAGCACAGCTGTAATACAAGGCCGCGGCAATTCCTTCTCATAAGGAAGCCATGGCCACAGCTCAGCGAGGTGACTGAGGCTCAGTGAAGGAAGCCGACCTCATCCCCTGTCAAATGAAGGTGAACCACTTATGCACCTGGCTCAGCTGTGCCAGAGTCCTGGAGGGAGAGGCATGGCTGCCGTGCACACACCTAGGAAGTCAGCTCAGCTCTTAGCTAGTTGCTAACGGCTCTAGAATCCTAGACTTGGGACTCTCTAGGAGTACCAGGCTCCGGACTCTATTTGGAGTAAGCTCTTTTTCAGAGGGTTCTACCTGCTGCTCATAGGGAGTATGAGATAGGACAGATGATCATGGTACAGGCCCGGAGAAGGAGCTGGAATGTCTGTGGGAAGGCTGGAAACCCTGCCCCTCGATGGATGTGTCTCTTATAAAGGGCAAAGTCACAGTCATGGAGGAGCAGATGCCATCAAACTCAGAACATCATCACTAGGCCAAAGATAAAATCACCCTCCACCTACAGAAGTCCCTGCCATCACCACAGAGTTCACACTCTTTTGTCTATAGGGCTATGAACTTTCCACTGTGGGGATGAGGAAACCACTGTAATATGAGACTCAGGCTGAGTTTGGTTACCATGACCAGGAAGGGGAAAGACATTCAGAGCAAGCCACCTGCCATACCTGCCTTGGAGGTAGGTCTATTGAAGATGAGTGTTTTCTTGGGACAAGAGAATATAAACCGTTCTCCAAATATAAATGTTAAAATGACTATGATTAATGCGTTCACAGATAGGGGAACTGGCCAGTATGCATGGGGAATTTGAACAGAAAACAATGAATTTTAAGGACCACACAGCTTAAAATATCAGCAACGACAAACAATAAGGGAGTAGAACAGTCAGAGATGTATTTTTTGGAAGATGACATCGTTGTCTTTTTTTTTTTTTAAGTGATCAGATGGAAATCTAGGTCAAATGGAATCACACAACAACATGGACTCACCACAGGCTGTTAAACATGCATGTCCTCAGAGAGATAGAGATTGTTTAGTGGAAAAAGGCAACGTTAAAGAGAGAGAGTGGTGGAGCAAAAAAGCCACCACAGAGAAGCTGAGGAGAGCGGGTGCTCCTCAAGGACCGTGCACTTTGTAAGCCTGACCCAGGAAAAATTCCTAATGACACCCTTGACCTAGTTTCATTCCCATGTCTCTGATAAATATCCTGGCCAAAAAGAGATTTAGAGGAGAAGGGAGTTCCTTTTGCTCACACTCCCATGATCCAGTCCACCACTGGGTTTCTTTAGCTTACACACTCCCATGATCGAGTCTGCTATTGGGTTTCCTTTCGCTTGCACACTCCCACATTCTAGTCTATAATGTGTTTCCTTTGGCTTACACTTCCAGGTTCTAGCCCACCATCACAGGGAGATCAAGGGGACAGGACTGGAGTCAGCTAGTCAAACATATCACATTCAGAAGCAGACAGAGAATGAATGCACACGTACTGCTAAGCTAGATGTCACTATTCTTCATTACTCCAGGACCCCAAACTACGGAATGATGATGCCCACTTTAAGGCTGCGTCCTCCTATCAACCAAGGCAATCAAGGCACAGAATTGGCATAACCATATTATCCCCGCCCCAAAGGCTCAGGGACATCCTGGAAAGACACTGTACAGAAGCTCATAGTATGCAGAAACTGCAGTGAAGCAGCGTCCTCTGGCCATGACAGGACAGCAGCTGTGGATGCCTGCACAAGACCAAACAAGATCAAGCCAGCCAGAATTCCAGCGTGGAGAAAGGAGGGACACGTAAGTCCCTAGCTAGTTTCTGGAGGACAGAGAGGCAGTTGTCTTTAAGTGTGTGGCTCCTAGTAGATGAACCATTCTTCAGTTGATGCCCCCATAAGTAAATGGGCAGCATACATTCTTACTCTATGAATTATTTTTTAAAAGGTAGTTCCTGGGGTCGCTGAAGTGTCAGAAGTGAGCCGAACACTGTCTGGTAAACGGCAAAAGTCTTGGATGCAGACTTCCAGTTGAGAAGATTAAAATAGAGACGTAAGAAAGTCTTCTGTAGGACATGGGCTCTTTGTGCAAACAGCAGATGACATCCTTGTTGGGGGCACCCGAGTCGTCATGCTCTTTAGCAGTACAATGTTTCTGAACTCAGATGTCTGTGTTTGCCTCCACACCCAGCTGGTAGATCTTGCTGGTGCAAATGTCTGTGTTTCGGTGTCCACCTATATGAAGTCCTCTTTTGAAGGAAATCATACTCCTTTTTGAGAATAGTAAAATTCAAGTTATCCTCTGCATAGTCTTCATAAAGGGCTTTGCTTCCTGAACCATCTTCCTAATCCTTCTAGGCTCTGAGTTATGGTTTCCATGGGGGCGGCAGTGGGCGGAGGGGGGGGAAGTCTAGAAACTTCCTTACTCATTCCTTACATATTCTACATTACACTTTCAGAAGAATAAAAGATGAAATCAGGAAGCACACTTCTCAGTGAATGGCTGTGATTCAGAATATTCAAATCATTTTTTTCCTTCAGATTTTGAAAGCTGTTCAAAAAGAATTAGACTTAATGACATCTCATTGGAATACATAAAGACACCTCACTGAAGTCCTGAATCCCTTGATGTGGGGGCTGAACAGCTAGCATGGCCACTGTGTGGATGGCTCTGGTAGGTTCTTCAAATCATTCACTGTCATTAGAATAATGAGGGGAGGACAATCTACTGGGTTGTGCTTACGTCTTACTAAATGCTGTTTTCCATGCAAATCCTTTGTTGTCATTTAGTGCTCCCCATAATCCAGAAAGAGTGAGTGGGGAACAGAGAGGGGCTACAGAAAAGTCAGAAAAGGGTGGGGGTCCTGACTTAAAGAAAAGAAGTGGAGAATGCAAATATTTTAACAACTTGTTTGCTGTACTGTCTAGTATCATGTCAACTTGACATAAGCTAGTGCTATCTTCAAAGAAAGAATCTAATTGAGGAGTTGCATCCATAGGATCAGCTTGCAGACAAATCTGAAGGGTATCTTCTTGACTGACGGTTGATGTGGGTGTGCCCAGCTCACTGTGGGTGGTGCCATCCCTAGGTTGCTAGTCCTGGATCATTTAAGAAAGAAATCCGAGCAAGTCATGGTGAGCAAGCCAGTAATCAACAGTCCTCCATGGCCTCTGCATCAGTTCCCGCCTTCAGGTTCCTGCCCTGACTTCCCTTAATGGCGGATTGTGATCTAAGTTACAAGCGGAAATAAACCCTTCCTCCACAAATTGCTAAGGATTGTGGGTTTTCACAGTGATACAAATCCTAACCGAGAGACCTGATAGTCATCACCTCCGGAGACATTGGTTGTGCAGACCTTTGTGGAATTCATTCAGTTCTAGACGTGTCCTTCCAAGACAAATTCTGCAACAGCAACAATAATAGCCCAAAGGATTTCTGCTTAAACACTCTTTGCTTGCCAGAAACTGTAGATGCTCTCACTGCTCCAATTTTACTGTAGCTCTCACTATGAACTTGTCAGTGGATATTCATTGTCTTCACTCAGGAAATGGAGAAAAGATTACAGATTCCAAAATGGAAAGATTGGTACATTGCAAGGGTTTTAAGCCTTTCTGTCTGTGTGAGGATGTTATGGGATTTGATTGGTATTAGGTTCAGAAGGACAAGCCCCTGACCTTCTAAATATGGGTTGATGAAACATCTTGGGTGGATGACAACCTGCCGTGGGTCTGAACAACAGAAGACAGTGGAGTTTTCTCTATAATTTCCTGGGTTTGGAATTTGATTGGCATGGATGTGACTTACACCATCCAGGACCTTATATTTCAGCTTTCACTTGTACTGGGATTTTTCTGCATCTCTAACTTGTGGACAGCACACTGGAACATTCTGAGACTAAGCCTCCAAAATCATTTGACCCAATTTCTTATAAGTAACTTAAACAAAACCAATTCTTTTTGGTTGTGTACTTGTGGATAGCCAGGACTAATGTGAGAGTTGAGCTAAGTGGTGAGCACAGTGTTTGGCCATAGTAACTTATGTCACGTTGAATACTGAAGGACACCATTAACAGCAATAGGGACACAAACCTGGATCTGGATCTACATACATACATACACCACACACACACACACACACTCACACTTCTCTGTGCACACACATTCACAAAGTGACATATTCTGAAAGAGAACAACAGGGTATCATAATACAGAAGAAACAGAAATGTGTTTCTAGCAGGTATTATTTATTCTAGTTCTTGGGATAAGTCTTGATTTTCAACCGGATAATTCTCATATTTGAAAAATTCTGTCCAATACACATGTAAATTATACTTTTTTTTGGGTTTTTTTTTTGGTTTTTCGAGAATTTATGATCATCTTATATTAGATGTTGGTTGCTACTATTCTAAAAGTGTGAATTAAACTCTTAGCCAGGCTTTCCTTTAAAACACACACACACACACGTATACATAAAACACACATGTACATGCATAAACATACACATGTAGTGGTACATGTTCACATATAAATACTCACACATATACGCATAAATGTACACATGTACAGGTACACATACATATTCACATACAAACACTCAAGCACATACACAAACACACAGGTGGAGGATATACAGGTGCACACACACACATACACATGTGTGTACACATATAAACACATACACACAATTACCATCACTAGAGGATTGTACAGGAGAGACAGTAGCTATCTGTGTCTACACACATCTTTATATACGTGATTAAAGCCCCTCACTTTGCCAGTTATTTCTCACTGGGCTGGCTGCTCCTTCATCACGTCCATGCCCTTTGAAGGTCAGCCTGCTGGCTGCCAGGCAGCATCAGAATGGCTTCTAATTTCACCCCTATACAGGTTTTTCCTGAAACCCCAATCATTAGGTACATTTGCCTGTAGAGCTTCCAGTGGGCATGTTGGGGGCTCTGCCACTGTGACAGGTCACTGAAGCTTACCAGTGCTAGTCTGGCTCCAGACAGACCCTTTGCTTTTACATTTGTTTCAGACGTAATGAAGCCTTGAGTGGAGAAGGTTGGCTGGCATTGCAATGAGCCTTGAGTCACACATCTAGAAGGAAACACCAGGGAGACAGACAGCTCAATCTTAAGTCTTCTGATATGTGAGCACCAGGTGGATCTTAATTCTCTACAACACTTCCACTACTCAGGGTTCTAGTCCAGCTTCCTTTCTTCCTCCGCACTGCAGCATTTCTCTTTTGACTTCCTTTATGTTGAGAGAGAAAGCATAAGCATGCGAGAATGCTTTATAATGAATTTTTGTTTTGTTATCTGGGGAAATCATGAAAAAAAAGTGCTTGTTCATCAATTGGAGACGTCTTGGAGTAAATTGAAATGGTTGTGAGGCAAATTATTTATCTTTTTTCTTAGATGAAATATAGGAGTTAGCAGAGGAAATGTGTAAGTACCCGGAGCTGGTATTGCTTGCGCAGTTTCGAGGCATGCTAATCAACACAGGTGTTCTTTTGAAGGATTGCTTTAAAAACCTGTTTCTATGGTAACCAAATCATATCTAAGACTGAAGAGAATTAACGTTGACTTGAATTGGATCTTTTCAACTTCCAGGCAAGCCACATAGATCCCAGCAAATATAATATGTGCTAACACTCTACTGGAATTTCAGACTTCATCACATTTTTGTAATCTGTCTAAAAGTGTGTCCTGTCTGAGTTAATGGACTGGTGTAGAACGTGAGGCTGCTAACATCCCTACCCAGCTTGCTCTATGTAACAGCCGACCCCAAGTGTGTAAGGACACACTTTCTTTGCACTTACCAATATGAAGTCAGAAAACCAGGCATTTCTGCTTCTCTATTAGGTATAAATTTTACCTTTGCTTCAGATTGCACGTGATAAAATACTAGTGACAATCAAGTCCTTTCATTTATTCTAAAGTCTTTTATTCACTTTGTTACACACTCATGTTTTCATTCTATTGGCTTGTTGTAGAAAAGAAATCCTAGTTTTCATCAATGTTTATTAACATTCCTTCTTTGATACACATGAAAATACCCCCCTTTTTTACTTTATGCTCCTTAGTTGAAATATAATTACATCATTATATCCCTCTTCTGCCTCCGCCACTCCCATATCCTCCATCTTGCTCCCTCTCGAATTCATGGCTTCCTTTATTTAGTTATTTTTGTTGTACACATATGTGTATAGACATGTGTAATTTATATGCATAAATATTTAAATACAACTTGCTTATTCCATTTGGTGTTGCATTTGTGTATATGATTTAGGGGCTGACCACTTGGTATTGGGCGACTGATTACGGGGCACCTCCCTTGGGAAGGTACAGTCTCCTCCTCTCAGCAGTCTTTAGGTACCCACAGGTCTTTGTCTAGGGTCAGGCCCGACTGAGCCCAGCCCCCCCACATGTTAGCAAGTCTACTGATGTTGTCCTTGTTCATGTTTGTTTGTGCAACCATGTCGCTGAGGTCTCATGGGTGAAGCTCCCCTGTCTTTTTTTTAGGATTTTTGTATGTTGAACCATCCCTGAATCCCTGGGATGAAGCCTACTTGATCATGGTGGATGATTTTTCTGATGTTTTCTTGGATTCGATTTGCCGGTATCTTATTGAGTATTTTTGCATCAATGCTCATGAGGGATATTGGTCTGTAGTTCTCTTTGTTAGTTGTGTCTTTGTGTGGCTTGGGTATCAAGGTTATTGAAGCCTTGTAAAAAAGAATTTGGCAATGACCCTTCTGCTTCTTTCCAATGTGTGGAATACTTTGAGGAGAATTGGTATTAGCTGTTCTTTGAATTTCTGGTAGAATTCTATGTTGAAACCATCTGGCCCTGGGTTTTTTGTTTTTTGGGGGGGTTTGGGAGACTTTTGATGACTGCTTCTATTTCCATAGCGGTTATAGGTCTACTTAAATAGCTTATCTGTCCTTGATTTAATTTTGAGAGGAGATATATATTCAGAAAATTGTACATTTCCTTTAGATTTTCGAATTTTGTGGAGTAGGTTTTCAAAGTATGACCTGATGATTCTCTGGATTTCCTCAGTGTCTGTTGTCATGTCCTCCTTTTCATTTCTGATTTTGATAATTTGCATATTCACTCCCTACAGTTTGGTAAGTTTGGATAAAGGTCTATCTATCTATCTTGTTGATTTTCTTGAAGAAGTAAGTCTTCATTACATTGATTCTTTATATTGTTTTCCTAGTTTCTAGTTTGTTGATTTCAGACCTCAATTTGGTTATTTCCTAGGGCCTTCTCCTCTGGGGTGGATTTGCTTCTTCTTGTTCTAGAGCTTTCAGCTGTACTGTTAATTCTCTAGTGTGACTATTCTCCAGTTTCCTCATGTGAACACTTAGTACTATAAACTTTCTTCTTATCACTACTTTCAAAGTGTCCCATAAGTTTATACTTATTTTTTTAATTGTCTGAATTTTAATGGCTTCTCATCTCCTATAAGTTGTTAGTTTCCCCCAGCCTAGCCTTCCATAGACAAGAAAGCAAGAGAAGTCTTCAATGACTAGAGATGTGAATATAAAACCCATGAGAGTTTTCTACATGTTCAGTATAAACTGTGTATAGAAAGACTCAGGTTTACCTGTGACTTTGGATTGCCTGTGAGGATATTTCAATTATTACATATTTTTGACCTACCATATTGTAGACATTTGACATCAAGCACAAATGCTACCTTCAAGGTCCTGACTCTGTCACACTTTCAGTGACCATTATGTTATTGAGGATGTTTTAACCATATAGCAGAAGTTGGGGGATTCACAAATGGCACTTCTGTTTTCTCTCAGA